AATTTTATCATTTTCTTTCTTCTGCTTTAGGTCTTATTTGCTCTTCTTAATTTAATTTCCTGAGGCAAAAGCCTAGTTACTCGCTTTTAGATCTCTTTTCTTCTAATATATTGTACTTCTTGATATTTCTCTAAGCACTTCATTAGCTGTAAATCACAGATTTTGATATATTGCATTTTACTTTTCATTTAGTTGAAAATGTTCTCTGCTTTCCCTGGAGACTTTTTTCACACATAAGTTTTGTTTAACTTCCAAATATGTGCTGCATTTCCAGCTGTCTCTGTTGTTGACTCTGGTTTGATTGTGGGTGCCTGAGAATTTACTTCAGATGATCTTCATTCTTTTTAATTGGTTAAGATTGGTCTTTTAATTAAGTATATGACCTATTTTGTGACTATTATGTGCAATTGAAAAGCATGTGTATTCTTCTGTTGCTGGGAAGGTATTCTATAAAGGTCACTTGTGTTGGTTTTACTTTTGAAAGATAATTTTACTGGTTAGCACAATATCATTTGTTGATAAGCTTTTTAAATATGTAAAATATGTAGTCTTATTTTCAAGTTTTCTAAAATGAAGTCTCCCTTCTTTTTTTCTACCTCTTTCTCTGTAGGCAGTGTGCTCCCAACTCTGACCAATTGCAAGAATCTCTTTTTGCCACTGATTTCTTAGCAGTACTAACATGCTATGCCTAGGTGTATTTGTAGTTGTTCCTCAGTGTATGGAAAGGTCTAGTGGTTTGAATGTAAAATGTTCCCCGAAGGCTTGTGTATTTGAACACTTGGTCTCCAGCTGGTAGGACTGTTTTGGGAGTTCATGGGACCCTTTTGAACACAAAGCCTTGCTAGCAGACATGGGGGCCATAAGAGTACAGCACCAGTATGTCCAGCTTGAATTCTCTGCTTCCTGGTGAGGGCCATATATATATATAGCCATGCCACCATATGTTACTGCACTAGGTGGTTCTCCAGGTGCCATGCTGTTCTTGTCATAATGGAGTATAGTCCCTTACTATGAACAATTATGAACCCTTTCCCCCTGAAGGTGCTTCCATCAGCTATAATGGTCACAGCAACAAGGAAAGAAATTAATACATAATAAGTTCATTTTAAGTTGAAAGTGTCATGAACTGAAGATACATTGAGTAATATACATCAGCTACAAAAATCCCAGCTTAGTTTAGACTATCTTAAACATGATCAGAACACTCATAGTAGTCTACACTTGGATACCATCCTCTAACTCATCTATTTAGATAATAAAGTATTAAATACTTCATGTAATTGATTAAGTACTACACCAAAATTAAAGGGCATGATGGTTGCATGAGTGAACTTTGTAAACTACAAAAATCATAAGTTTAATCATTGTACGTCAAGTGAGAAATTTTATTGTTTTGCATTTATTGAATTTACCCTGTTTGGTGTTCTCTGAAATCCTTGAGTCTGCAGTATTTGCTAGTAATATTGGAGACTTCTCAGGCATTATTTCTTCAGCTCTCTGCCTCTCTGTTCTCTTTTACCATTTTGGTGACATGTATATTAGACCTGTTGTTATTGTCTTACATCACTTTCATATTCTGTACAGTGGTCCTTTTTTTTTCTTAGCATTCCAGTCCAGGTGTTTTTATTGACAACTTGAAGGTTAATGATTCTTTGCTCAGCTGCAGTGAGTCTGTCGGTGACCCCAACAGAGATAATATAATGTTCCGTGATTTTATTTTGAATATTTCCATCTTTTCTCTTTATTGTATGTGTGAGGTGTACACTGGGGTCTGAATATGGAGATATATCATGAAATGACTGCTATAGTCATGTTAAAATGTCTACTGTTTTCTTATAGTTTCCAATTTTCTGCCGAAAGTACTAAAGTAATTTTGTGTGGCTCTGCCTTTGTCCATTAGAGCTTTTAAAAAGGGGTTTAGCCTGGAAATAATTGACATTTTCAGGCAGAAATTTATGTTGGAAGGTGGTATCCTGTGCATTGTAAGATATTTAGCACCATCTCTGGTCTCTATCCACTAGATGCCAGAAGCACCTTTTCTATTAAGATACAGAAAGTGCCTCCAGATGTTACCTATTGTTCTCTCTGGGCAAATTACCTTAAACATGTTAATCATAGTTGTTTTAAATTCTCTTTATGATAGTTCCAACAGCTATGTGATATTCGAGTTTGTTTCACACGATTTCTTTGTCTCTTCCTAGTGTGTGTGTGTGTGTGTGTGTGTGTGTGTGTGTGTGTGTGTGTGTGTGTGTGTGTGTTGCATTATTTTTGGTTGAAAGATGACCATGCATAGGATTATATATAGTAATATCAATTTTTATACTTGGATATTAAGCATGATTTTCCTTCCACTAGGCCTTTACTGTGGGGGTTTGTGTTGATCTAGTCAGGAATTGGACTAGATTTGAAATTTGCTTAGTTGCTATAGTTGCTATGGTTACCAGAGTTAGAATTTGTTGCTATGGTTATCAGAGTTAGAATTTGTTGTTGCCATGGGCACCAGAGATTTCAAAATCCTCTAGTGATACCTTGTTTTTGTTTCTCCACTTGGCTCTGGATCTTTCTTCTGTCTTGCTCCCCATGGAGTCACTCTCTTGCCATTCTTCCAGCTGTACTACACTATATTTGTTCAAGGTTTGTTAGCCTGGTTGGCAGGGGTGGGGGGACAAAATTGCGTATTCCCTGATGTTCTTTTTAAGCCTCAATCTTGGACAAATGTTTTAAACTTGGGTTGTGGGGATGATTATCCACAACATCACTGGAGAAGCATCTAAGAAGATGAGTGGGGATGCAGTTTCATAATCTTCTCTCACATAACTATAATGAGACTCCATCACATAGTTGTTCCTGATGGTCATATAGTGCAGATGTAGTGTGCAGATCAGACTAGGTGCACGTGGACAGAGGCTGTTGTTGTTTTCTTCCAGCCAGGAAGGGGCTTTCTTAGGGATCTTTTGGTCTTCCTGGTATATTCTAAGTAAAAACCCTCAAAGATGGGGCAACTTGTTTATTCCTGAGAACTGGCCTTATGCACTCACACTTGCTGGCATTTGAGTTTTGGCAGCTGAGTAAATATTTTTCTTTTGGCTTTCTTTTCTATTTCTTTTATGATGCTGGGGAATCAAACTTAGGTTTTGCACATGCTAGGCAAACTCTTCACTACTGAGCTACATTCTCAGACCCAATATTTCTAGTTTAATCTTCCTACAGTTTCTGTTCTTCGGCAGCATGTGTTTGGAGTAGACAGTAATCTGGCCTCATCTAAAACACATTTTCACAGAAGCAGAAATAATAATGTGTGTCCAAATATCTGGGCATCAAGGCCCCACCAATTCACACAGAAAATTAAGCATCATACTATGGAACCATATGTCTGTCTTCCTTATTGCATTGCTCCCAATGAGAAACATTGTATCTTTCTGAAAATGTAACATGGCTTTTACTTCCCCTCTGGGCATTTTTTAAAGGTTTTATTTATTCATTATGTATACAACATTCTGCTTCCATGTATATCTGCACACCACTAGAGGGCACCAGATCTCATAAAGGATGGTTGTGAGCCACCATGTGGTTGCTGGGAATTGAACCCAGGACCTCTAGAAGAGCAGCTGGTGCTCTTAACTTCTGAGCCATCTATCTCTCCAGCCCCCACTCTGGGCATTTTTAATGTTTTCTTTTCACCAGTTTTTAACAATATGGTTGTTCCTTACTGTTTTGTGTTCTTTTATTTTAGGGCTTACTTGGCTTCTTGGTTCTTTTAGAAATTTTGGGCAAAATTTGGCCATTATTCTTGAAATACTTTTTCTGCATTTCTCTTCTTTATCTGCCCTTGAACTCAAGATGAATGCATATTTGACCTGTAGATGTTGTCAATCAGCTTTTTAAATGCTTTGCTTTTTTAGACAATTTTTTTCCAGTTTTACTTCAGGTATACCAAGAATTTCACTTCTCCTTTCTTCTGAATTCCTGTTCTGCTGCTAAATCTTCATAGTATTTTTATATATTTTCCACAATCTGATACTTTACTTTTAAATTTTATTTTTTTAATTAAGCTAAAGTTACAACATCCCCCTCCCTCCAGCATCTCCCATGTCCCCTCTTCCTCCCAAATTCATGGCTTCTTTTTAACATAACACTTTGATTTTAATTATTTCATTAATTTTATTTATGTATATACTTTTTTATGTTCGAGTGATGTCTGCATGTATGGCTACATGCCAGAAGAGGGCATCAGATCCCATTATAGATGGTTGTGAACCAACATGTGGTTGCTGGGAAGTAAACTCAGGACCTCTGGAAGAGCAGCCAGTACTCTTAACCACTGAGCCATCTCTCCAGTCCCCAATTAATGGTTACTTTTACTTTAGTGATTATTGTTACATATATATAAGTGAGTAAGTATGTAAATACAACCGGCCAAATCTCTAGTGTTGCTTGTATGTGTATGTTTCTTGAGTTGACTACTTGGTATTTGATAAGCAGTTAGGGTGCTCATCACCAGAAAAGATTAATTCTCCTTCTCACAGCAGTCTTTAACTGCCTGCAATTCTTCATCTGGAGGTAGAGCCCTGTGACATTTTCCCCACTCACTTTGGCATGTCAGCTAGTGCTGTTATTCTTCATGTTTAGGTGGCTACACTATTGAGATTTCATGGCTAGAGCTTCACTGTCAAATCTAGAAGACTCACTCCCAGCAGACTTCCTGTCATTCTGAATCTAACAATCTTGCCACTCTCTCTTCCTCGATGGTCCCTGAGTCTTAGGTCTGGGAGTAGTGTATAGATATGTATCAATTTGGGCTGGGTACCTGAAGGTCAGTTGTTCTCTTTACTTTGATCACTTGAAATCCACGTATGTTTTATCTTGTAGTTTTCATTGTCAGAAGTCCAAATTGAGTTTATTTTTTATGATTTTTCTTTAGCTTTATTTAACGTTTTGAACACAAAGTTAGCATAATTGCTTCAATTTTTATGCTAATTCTTGTTTTTGTTTGCTTGAAGGGAGTGTATTTGTTTTTCTCTTCTGCACTGCTGGAGAAGCCACCCTGGACCTCACACATACTAGGCAAGTACTCTATCACTGTAACATATCCCCTGCCCCATACCGGTTCTTAAATCTGGGTCAGTTCTGATCAGGTTCTATCGACAGTTTTTTTTTCTTTAATACTTTTATACTTTCCATCTTAATTATATACCTAGTAAGTTTTAATAGGATGAATAGTATTGTGGATTTTACTTTTTATTCATTTGTTACTTATACAGTGTTCTGTGTGCATTTATGCCTGCATGCCAGAAGAGGGCATCAGATCACATTATAGATGTTTGTGAGCCACCATGTGGTTGCTGGGAATTGAACTCAGGACCTCTGGAAGAGCAGCCAGTGATCTTAATTGCTGAACCATCTAATACATTTTAAAGATAAAGTGTTATACAGTGTTATTTATAGGCAGAGTGGTTTTCAGCAGATTTTTATAATCAACTAATCCAGTATAATACCGTTATATTCTTTACTGTCACAAATTACTTCAGATGACGGGTAGAGAGAAATTCTTGATTATTAGTTGATGCAGGAGGGCCCCATCCACTGCAGCAGCACCATTCGTAGGCACATGATCCTGGGCTGTATAAGAAGGCTAGCTAAGCATGAGCCTGAGAATGAGCAAGCTACTATGCAGTGTTCCTCCATGGTTTCTGCTTCAAACTTCCTGCTTGCTCTCCTGCCCTTACTTTCCTCGATGATAGACTGTGACAAGGAAGTGGAAGCCATATGAACCCTTTCTCTTCTTTAAGTTTCTTTCACCACATTATTTTATCATAGACGTGGACTGAAGGTAGTGTCGTGGGTAGCCCACTAAAGATGACCACTCGCACACCGTTTAAAGCCAATTGAAAGTCTTTAGTCCAGCTGGCTGTGATCACACCCAAGTGTTCGAGGACCTAGATGTGGCCCTGAGTGTCCAAAAAGGCAGAAACCACTTCTTGCCGTCTTGCTCAGCAGCCACAGGGGGCTGGCTTCCAAGAAGCAAGCAGTTTAACAGTTGCTAAGATAAGCAGTTAGCTGGAGGGGGTCCTGCACAAACAGGCAGTTTAACAGAAGCTGGGTTAGTTAGGCCATCCTAACCTTTGGTTCCTAGAATAGAGTTGGGCAATTTTCCATGGAATTCTGCATCAAGGAGATGAAATTATAGTTAAACCTGCAATGCCCTGAGCAAGAACACTAGAAGAGACATCCTTTCTTTGTCTTGACCTGTCACAGTAGAACAGTTGTCTTTCCATCCTACTATTTCCTTTATGGTACAAAAACTTTATAGCTTGATGTCGTGCCAACCATCTGTTTTTACTTTGGTTGCCTGGTTTGTTTTCATATCCAAGACAGTATCATGAAACTGTATCCTAAAATTTTCTACTAATAGTTTTAAACTTTTAGAATGTACATTTAAGAACCCTGTGGATGCTTTAGCAGGTAAACCACTTGTCATACAAGCCTGATGACTTGGGTTTGATCCCCAGAACCATGTAAAGTTTAAAGAAGAGAGCTGACTTCAAAAAGTTGTTCTCTAGTCTCTTGATGTGTGCCAATCATGTGCACACTCCCTCCCACAACACACTCACAATAAAAACATTCAAGGAGCTGGAGAAATGACTATGCAGTTAAGACAGCTGTGTACTGCTCATGCAGAGAACCTGGATTTGTTTCCCAGCTCCCAAGCCAAAGTCACACCACTGTCACTCCAGCTCCAGAAGGGTTAATACCCCCTTATGGCCTTCATGGGCACCTGCACATCATACTCATACACAGATACACACATACATATAATCAAAGATAAAATAAATCTTTTTAAAAAGATAAAGAATGTCTTAATCTATTTTGAATTCCCACCTATGTGTAATATAAATGTCTAATTTCATTATTTGGCATGTGTATATTTAATTTTCCTAAAAAATATTTGTGGAAAAGATTGCCCTTTTCCCTCTTGCTTATTCTTGGCATCTTTGCCAAAATGCAGTTAGCCATATATGTGAGGAGTTACTTTTGAACTCCCACTATGCTCATTGATTTATGTATAACTTTATGCCAGAGCCTTTTTCCTGAATGCTACATTTTGGCTTTTTCTTACAAGCATGAGATAGTAGTGAATTTTATCAAATGCTGTCTTTGCATCTATTGTCACTAACGTGATTTTCTCAATAATCAGTAATGTGAAGTATCTTATAGCATTACATATATTGAATCATGATTCCCTTTGTGTTAGTCAGGGTTCTTTAGGGTAATAGAACTTGCATGATGAATCTCTCTCTATGTATAAAGGGGATTTATTGGAATGGCTTACAGGCTACAGTTCAGCTAATGCAGCAAATCACTGGCTGTGAACAGAGAAAGTCCAAGAATCCAGTAGTTGCTCAATTCACAAGCATGGATGTCTCACGTGGTCTTCAGTATATTCTGGAATCCTGAACAAATAGGAAGCGATGGGATGTGCTACTAAGGTGAGAGCAAGAGGGCAAAAAGAAAAAGTTTCCTTCTCTATGTCCTTATATAAACTTCCAGCAGGAGGCATGGCCCAGATTAAAGCTGTGTCTTCCCAACTCAAGATCTGAATCAAAGATGTATGTCTTCTACCATCAGGATCAGGATCAAAGGCATGTGTTTTCCTGCTTCAAGATCCAGATCAAAGATGTATGTCTTCCTACCTCAAAGTTCCAGACAAGAAGTGGATTAACTCACTGCAAACCAAGCAAAAATTCTCACAGGTGTACCTTCAATTTCTGGATTGTAGTTAATTCCAGATGTAGTCAAGTTGACAAGCAAGAATAGCCATCACACCCTTCCAGAGATTTATCCCCTTTGGTAGTGCTGTGTAATCCTTTTAATGCACTGTTGTTGAAGATTTTTTAGATCTATATTCAGCAGTATTGGCTTGCAGTTTTTTCCCTTTAATGAAAAAAATTTTTTTCACACAATATATCCTAGTTTGGTTTCCTCTCCCACTCCTCATCCCAGTTCCTCCTCACCTCCAGATTCACTCTCTTTCTGTCTGTCATGGGAAAAATAAACAGACTTCTAAGGGATAATAAAACATATTAAGATAAAACATAAAGTAACATATCAGAATTGGACTAAACAAACAGAAGAAAAAGAGCCTGAGAGAAGGCACAAGAATCGGACACCACATTCAAGGCAATCCCAATCAAAATTCCAACACATTATTCATAGCTCTTCTAAGGACAATTTTAAGCTTCATATGGAAATACACACACACACACACACACACACACACACACAATCTAGAATAGCTAAAACAACTCTGACTAACTAACTAACTGCTGGCGATATCACCATCCCTGATTTCAAGTTGTACTACAGACCTATAGTAATAAAAGCAGTATGGAATTGGTCAAAAACATACATATTGATAAATGGAGTCAAATAGAAGACCCAGACATAAATCCACACATCTATGGACACCTGACTTTTTAATAAAGAAGCCAGAGATACTCACTGGAAAAATACAGCATCTTCAACAAATGGTATTTTTCACATTGGATATCTGTATGTAGAAGGATGCAAATAGATCCATACTTATCACCCTGCACAAAATTCAACTTCAAATGGATCAAAGACCTCAGCATAAAACCAGATACAGTGAACCTAGTAGAAGAGAAAATGAGGAATACCCTTGAACGCATTGACACAGGAGACAACTTTCTGAACAGAACACCCATAGCACAGACACTGAGATCACCAATTAATTATGGGATCTCATGAAATTGAAAAGCTTCTGTAAGGCAAAGGACACCATCATTTGGACAAAATGGCAGCCTACAGATTGGGAAGAGATTTTTTACCAACTTCACATCCAATAGAAGAGGAATATCCAAAATGTATAAAGAACTCAAGAAACTTAAATATCAAAAAATCCTAGGTGGTACCATTGAATGAATTGGTACAGGAGAACACTTCCTGACATAACACCAGTAGCACAAACATTGACATCAACAATTAATAAATGGGACCTCCTGAAACTGAGAAGCTTCTGTAAGCCAAAGGACACAGTCAGCAAGACAAAACACCAGCCCACAGAATGGGAAAAGATATTCACCAACCCCACATCTGACAGAGGGATGATTACCAAAATATACAATGAAATCAAGAAGCTAGCCACCAAAACACCAAACAATACAATTAAAAAGTGGAGTGCAGAACTAAATAGAAAATTCTCAACAGAGGAATCTAAAATGGCTGAAAGACACTTGAGAAAGTGCTCAACATCCTTAGCCTTCAGGGAAATGCAACTCAAAACCACTCTGAGATACCATCTTACTCCTATCAGAATGCCTAAAGTCAATAACACCAATGACAGTCTATGCTGGAGAGGATGTGGAGAAAGAGGAACACTCCTCCATTGCTGGTGGGAGTGCAAACTTGTGCAACCACTTTGGAAATCAGTATGTTGGTTTTTCACAAAAATGGGAGTCAGTCTACCTCAAGATCCAGCAATTCCTCTCTTGGGCATATACCCAAAGAATGAGCATTCATACAATAAGGACATATGTTCAACTATGTTCGTAGCAGCATTATTTGTAATAGCCAGAACCTGGAAGCAACCTAGATGCACCTCAACTGAATAATGGATAGAGAAAATGTGATACTTTTACACAATGGAGTACTACGCAGTGGGAAAAAAATCAATGGAATCTTGAAATTCACAGGCAAACGGATGGAACTAGAAGAAACC